CAACCATTCACTCTCTCACTCACACCTAGGGACAATTTAGAGTTACCAGTCAACCTAACATGCATGTTTGTGGTCTGTCTGTGGGAGGAAACCGGAGTACGCGGAGAGAACATGCAAACTTCACCCAGAAAGGCCCCCGGACCTGGGATTTGAACCAGGAACCTGCAATTTTAGAATTGCATGCTATATTGAGCGTATATCTTGGAAAACTATAGTAAACTCTTTCAAACTGCATCATTAATAATATGTTTTAGGACAGCTGTTCACTGTTGGGTTCATTATTTACAATCAGTATTGCTTTAATGCAACAACGTTATAAATTAACTTAAACCTTCAGATTAAAGATCAAATAAATATGTTGTTCATAAAGCATCCACATTTTATTTCAGTGGTCTGAGATGCACATTTCACCGTCTGGACAGAAAACGTTCATTACTGAGGAGAAATAAAGTTTGATCAGAACATTCCTCTGCTGCAGCTCTGATAGTAGCACATGAAGGGGTGGTAATGATAGTCCCGGTTCAGAGGTCCAGTTATGGGGAGGTGGACCACTCCGTGATGCTTTGACTCGTTCCTCACCAGCACCTTTACAGCCACAGTGTTTGGTGAGCTCAGCGCAGCCACACCGGCCGTCATCTCCCGCCGTTTGGTTTTATATCTCCGGTTCTGGAACCAGATCTTCACCTGGGTCTCTGTGAGCTTCAGGACTCCTGCCAGGTCGGTCCGTTCAGGACCAGAGAGGTACCTCTGGGCACTGAAGCGACGCTCCAGCTCCTGGACCTGCGCGTGAGAGAAGGCCGCTCTGGAGCGCTTCTTCGCAGCCGGCCTGCCCTGATGCGCCTCCGGTGAGCAGCTTAAAGGCTGGTCATCTTTCCCTGCATCCCTCTGGCGCGTGTCCATCCCTGTATGATCCTCAGGGTCTGTAAACACAAAATGGGATGAGAGCATGTTTTCCAAAAGTAAACACGAGTGGTTAGCATAAATTAGAAAGCTGCGGATGCACAAATCTGTCGCCCTTAATAAGACAAGACTTGAAATTAAACAGGTTTAGAGAGAACGCATTATATTTTAACTGAACAGGGGCAAAAATAAATAAAATACATACATAAATAAGCTTGGATTAAGAAGTTTTGTTTAGAATTAATCATTTTATCCACGTGCGTCTTGTTTTTCTTAAAATAAAGTGCCTTCTTAATCGTTTTTAATTATGCTTGTCTTGTTTCATTTTCTTATTCAATAAAATAATTATTTCCAGAAAATCTCCCACCTTCTCTGAGCTCACCCCTTACTCGTCCCTCATCTTGGCAGGTATAAGATCCTGAGAACGCGCGCGGATCAAGTTGAAATGTTTTGGGAAGGATGCTGTTCTCCCAGCCGGTGCGTAAATGGCGCCTCGGTGCGCAGAGCTCCTCTGCAGAGGTGGTCATGGTGCCGGGACTCCCCCGCACATCACGTCTGGCAAGGATGTCTTTGATGGAGAAAGGCGAGGATCTTATTGTCATGGTTGACAAAAACAGTAAAGATGTTTCCTCACGCTTCCATCGGATTTTTTGCGTGGCTTCAAGATAACCCGCGCCTGGAAACAAAACGATTCCCTTCGATTTTTTTTTTTCCTCTCCAATTTCTGTGATTCTGATTTAATTGCGGTGAAGTGGACTTTTAATGAGCTGCCAACTCGAGGATCTGTCAAGACTTTGACAAAACTCTCAGTTAAGACTTGATAGGCTCTTTTGTCTGCCTGGTCCCTCCTCTGCACCGCCCAGCCACACACCGGTCTCTGCTCCGCGCAAATACCACAAAGGACAAATCACATTTTATTTCTTCGTTGGTAAAACAAAACATAAAAGACCTTTACATATGAAAAACGTGGAGTTTAATTACACCTTACAGAGCAAAATACGCCACTCTCTCTGGTCACTAAGCATCTAAATATTCAGTGCGTAATTTTGGCTGATTTGCGTAAAAACGCAGTTTATGCGTAAAATATAACTATTTCTGCAGCTTATATGCATATTAAGTGAATCCAACTTTTGCATTGATTCATTATCTAATCTCAGCTGGAAGAAAAACACATTATATGTTCGTGTATAGTTATTAATAGATTTTTATTTTTTATTTTACTCCACATTTGCAGGTTTGAATTTTATTCCAATGTTTAATAATAAAACTCCCCCCCCCCCCCCCCCCATCATCATGTGGCGAACTTTCATCTCGGGCAAGTGAGTACAGCGCCGCCATGTGGCCGAGGGTAAGTGAGTAAATGAGTGCGTAACACACACCCCCCCCCCCCAACCCAAACCGACACGCATTACACAATCAGCGAGTCTAGTCTTCCTTTAAGGAGATGTGATGACAGATGATCTGCCTCCTCCACGTCTCTTTGTTTTCTTCCTCTGACTAACCAGAGAAATGTCTCTTTCTGCAGCTCGGGGTGACAAAGCAGGTCTGGAGGGAGAAAAATGAGCTTCTAATGAGTTCAAATACTTTTCCCTGCCATCTTTAAAATGAGACTTTTCATTCTGTGTGTAAATTTAGCGCGTCTTGCAGCGACAAAATGTGCCAATCTGTCATTTCAATTAATCAATCAATTATTAATCATTTTTTTTATGATCACGTGTAAAATAATTCAAACTTGAACTCAACCTGCATGCTTCGAGTAAATGATAAAGTTTTAGACTATCGCCCGCCGCATGAAGGCAAAAGCAGACGACTAATTTTATTGAAATTCTTCCTGTTAATCTGATTCAGGACTACAACTATACTACAGACTGATGAAGTCATCCGGATGGAAGACGAAACGTTTCTCCCTTAAAGAAACTGATCCAGATAAAAAAGATTGAACCTTCTTTTTTAACAACTAGATATTGTTTAGTGTGGTAGTAGTTGAGACTGACACGTAACATGTGTTCTGAGCGCTGTTGCTCAAAATTGTTTGCCATTTACATGTTTTGTAGTCAATGCTGTTTGTCTGTTAGCATAATTTCTCGTGAACTACCGATCAGATTTTGATGAAGAATTCAGAAAGTAATCACTGGATGTACATCTACAACTGATTTACTTTTAGAGTCAATCCAGTTCAAAGTGGCTGACGCAGTTAATCGATTTTAGTCAACACGAAAATGACTATAGCTCCGTCAGTTTTACATATATTGAATTATAATTTGGTGTGGTAGTATCTGAGAGTTATTCATAGCAAATACTTGCAGAATTGCGCAAAATTGCGCAGAACGTTAATTACAAGTAATGGCTGTCACTTCTCAGAAGATGTTTTAATTCATAACGCTGCCATTTAAAAGCTGCATTTTCTCAAACAATCCAAGCCCTTTTAAAGTTCATTATTAAAGAGTAAACTTACTTATATTTGTACTATTTCAAATCTAATTTAAAATAACCTGCTCATAAGTTTTCTCAGCTCGCCTTAAAGGGGAATCAGAACAACATTTTGGCAAACCAGTTGCCACGGGAGAGTTTTGTGTTGTGGGAAACTCCGCGGCTGACAGTTGCAGCGATGCGCCCGCGCCGAACTGCTCTGTGGAAGTTGAAGCTGCGCGATAGCGATCGCGCGCGCCTGTCAGGGCAGCAGCGGTGGGCCGGTCCGGTCCGCCGCGTCCTGCAGGCATCGCCGTCCTGTCGCCAGCTCTATTTACACTAGTGGCTCTGCAGCACTTAAAGCTGACACCAGGTATGTCCTACCGGCAGCGCGGGAGCCACAGGAAGTGGCCGTCGAGGCTATCAGAGGAGACAAACACTCTGTTTACTTTGCCATTCATCTCCATTAATAGCGTCTGAGACCTGCCATGCCTCGCCAGGAGATTTACTTAAATCCATCTCCAGTGTGTGTGTGTGTGTGTGTGTGCGTGTGCGTGTGCGTGCGTGTGTGTGTGTGTGTGTGTGTGTGTGTGTGTGTGTGTGTGTGTGTG